AAAATACTAAAACAAAAAAAAAAAAAAAGAGGAAGGACGAACAGTACACGGGAAGACAGTGGTGGCAGAGGCGGATGTTTGAGAGTGGAAAGACGAGCGGTGGACGTTGAGGAAGAAACCAACCCAAATGTCCAAGTCCAAACCCAAAAGCCACGGAGTGGCTTCATAGCAGATCCATAAAAGTTGCAACAGCGAGGCGTCGGTAGTGGAGGAGATCCATAAATGAGAGACAGAAGATTTGCAGCGGCGAGGCATCGTAGTGGAGGAAATTGAAGCGGTGGACAACGTCGCGCGAAATACGGTTTCGACGTTCAAGCCCCAGTGGGGGAGACGCCCATTCCACGCCGCCAAGAGAGAGAAAGGGTGAGATAGGGGTAGGGGAAGTTCTGAAAGTGAAATGGGAAATTAGGGATTTAATTCAGGCGAGGTTCGGTGGGATGGGATGGGGTGTATATAATTTAATTTTTATAATATTATTATTAAAATTTAATTAAATATAAAAAACATGTATATATATCAAAAATATCTGATTTTTGAATATTAAAACTTAAAATTTGATTTTTGAACTTGGATCTTGAAAAGTAGGCTCTATGTAATTTCCACAAATATGTATTGCTTAGGTACCAAGGGGATGCACACTGTGCATAATAATAAAACTAGAAATTACCCAAGAAATGCAATTATCAATATCACCGACAAAATCCATGCTGTCAATGAGGCACCAACAATAGAAATGACAAAAAGAACATGGGCAAAATTGGCATCTTCCGTTTACAATTATTCTTAAATTAAGAAGGTGAAATTTAATTTTTTGTGGCCTTATTAAACCTTCAAAATATGAATATTTTTCTTAAAAAAAACTAGAACGGCTTGTATATATTTTAAATGGTTTTAAAATGATCGAAACATAAACCAAACCATTTTAAATAATTTTGCTTAAATTAAAATTAAAACGCTGATGGATCACGTAGATCCAAAATCAAACATTAATATGGGTTGACGATTTTTGCTTACGCCCTTAATAATTGGGATAATTTGATAAGTTTAAACAATGAGTTATGAAGGTGTGTTTGAGTCACATTATTCTGAAAGAATGTATTTTGGAATAGTAGATTGATGGAAAATATATAGTTAAAAAAGAAGGAAAAATGATTGATGTGACGAAAAATATTATTTTATTGAAGAATGTGTGGTTGAAAATGAGTAGAAAAATGAGAATGAAAATTTTAATGTGGTTCAAACAGGGGCGAAACATTATTAAGGGCGTGTTCAGTAAAGATTAAAACTGAAAAATTAGCATTTATTGTTGACTTTTATTAGACAAGTGAGACTCAATAACAACTATATTTTCAATTTTAATTTAATTTTAAGCTTAGCCTAACATGCTCTAAGGATGTATTTGAGTCACATTATTTTGGAAAAATGTATTTTGGAATAGTAGATTAATGGAGAATCTGTGGTTGAAGAAAAAAGAAAAGTTATTGATATGACTGAAAATATCATTTTATTGAAAAATTTGTGATTGAAAATGAGTAAAAAAAACCACGGGGCTAAGTTTACAAGTGATTTTTTTTTTTTTTGTACTTTTATTTTAAAATTAAATTTTTAGTTAAAATCATTTCAAAAGAAAAGAATTTCTAGTGCATTCTATGCTATAATGCTAATGGGGTAAAATAGAATTTAATAAAATTTTCTAAATATAATATATATATCTTTACGGCTTCACCAGTGAAAGAAAGAAAAAGAAGTCATCTCCTTCTCCTCGATACTTGGCACTAATCCTGAAGCTCCGTATTGTGTTTCACAGCCCGCATAAATTCCATGTTTCAATTTTTTCATGTAAAAAACCAACGATTTAGAACTGGGCATTAATTACAAGAATATGTCTTCAACAATCCCGATTCATTTCAACTTCAAGCCCTCCAGTTTTCTGCAACACCATAGTCGAGTGGTGGTTTTTTCAGTTAAGAAGTCGTTGAGCACCGCCGTTTCCCCCAGAAACCCACATGGCCGTTACTGTTATCGTCGTGATATAGTCAGAAATCCCGTGCTATGCTGTGTCTCGACAAGGGCCTGCAGCGATGATGGTGGGGGTGAGGTTTTTGTGACCCAAGAAGAGGCTTCTGCTTCTGTATGCTTCCTACTTATCCAAAACTCACCTGGGCCGGTCTTATTTTTGTGTTTTTATTTTTTATTTTTCATGTGCGTATAATCTCAAGTTATGTCATTCCACTCTGGGAAATGTAGGTGGGTATTTAATATGATTGCTTAGAACAATGGAAATGCACGTGACAATTGGAGTTTCACATAGCCTGCTCAAAATTATGCATTTTACTCCCCCATAGTTCGAGTTATTATTTATATTTTGGATAGATTATTTTTTATGTTTAATTTTTTGAACTCTTGTGATATGTTTCATCAGTTTTAGTTTAATTTTTTTGTTAGTTGGATAACCAATAATTTATGTGATTCCGTGAATAATTTTGAACTTGGCCGCCACATTTACAATTGCAGCTGATGAAGAGAGTACCAAAAGAAAGTAAATGTATAAATAAAAATAAGATTTGCTAGATATTTCTAGCCCACAAGTTATTGAGCAGGTCCCATATATGCGCTCGTGTATATCAAAAGTTGAGAAGAAATACAATGTTTAGGCAGCAAATGAATTCAGGGAGCTTGAACTACAAAAATATAATAAACACATTAGTATGAAATTGAAATACGAAGATATTAATTGAAGTGATTTCAGATTTGATACTTTACGAACGTCTCTATAAAATGTCTGCACCTGGCTGTGTGTATCTTATGTGGGGCCATCAATAGGGAATTCAGTGTATGTCATGTACACTAATGATGTCGCTTTTTTGCATGATATATTGTCAGCTTAAGTCACATGCTGGATGTGTGTGTGAGTGAACCACTAAAAATTGTGTTTTTACTTGCTTTTGATTTTCTATTTTGTGTTGTTTTTGCTTTCTAATACAGGATTAGGCATTTAATCCATAGCATTACAAATGTGTCCTCAATCTTGAGCCTGCAGGTGCCACTTTGTTGTCAATTTCTGCTCTTCTAACTGTTGATTCTTGGTGATGGGGTATTTTGTGATTATTTGATAGTGACCATAGTTCATGGAGCACGGGCCATACTTATGTTTCTCTACTCTCATTTCACTGTATTATGTAAACAAGTTTTGTAATGAATATTGTTCAGAGAAACTATTATTCTGATACAGGATCATAGGTGTTGGGAAAAGCTTTTATGAACTGCAGTAATTGTCCACCTTCTTCTTTAAATGGTTTAGAGAGAATTTCCATTGTAAAATGTGGCGTGTGGCCTTCTTCTTTTGCACCATGTTCTCTAACCAATCATTTTCTTTGTTGGTTGATATATCATTTGTAAGATGCATCCTTATTTTTCTGTTTCTTATGTAAGTACATTCATTAAGGCCGATAGATGCTCTTTTTTCTGAGCCATGAATGATAAATGGTTTTTGCAATCTTTTGCAGGATGTTGACACATTAAAGAGCAGATCGTCTCGCTCTAATGATGGTTATGTGGCATTATTTGTTCGGATGCTTGGGTTAGACAATGACCCTCGTGACAGAGAACAGGCCGTCGTTGCACTCTGGAAGTATTCTCTTGGAGGAAAGCAGTATGTTGATAACATCATGAAATTTCATGGCACTATCAATCTCACCTTGAATCTTCTGAAATCAGAGTCCGATTCTGCATGTGAAGCAGCTGCTGGTCTGTTGAGGATGGTATCCTCATTTAATGTATACAGAGATTCAGTGGCCGAGACTGGTGCTATAGAAGAGATAACTGGCCTGTTGAGACGATCTTCCTTGTCTCCTGATGTAAAATGCAATTGACCTGCTATACCGTTGACATTTATCTGGTTGTGTTTCTTGGCATAGGAGATTCAGGTAAAGTTTCAATATGTTTCTGCAGGTGAAGGAGCAGAGTTTATGCACATTGTGGAATTTGTCTGTGGATGAGAAGGTCAGAGCAAGAATCACCAACTCTGAGCTCCTACCTATACTTATAAAGTTCTTGGAGGATGACAATGTAAAAGTGAGGGAATCTGCTGGCGGAGTTTTGGCTAATTTAGCGCTTAGCCAGTCAAATCACGAGATAATGGTTGAAGCAGGTGTTATTCCAAACCTGGTGAGGCTCACTTTATGGTTGCCATAAATTATCGTGATTGTTTAGTATTTCAGTTAATTGCATGATTTAATACTATTAAGAAGACCAAACGAAAATTAAAGGAAGTGACTGATGAGAAACAAAAGCGATTGTGTGACTTTTGTCAAACTTGAATTTCCGAAATATTGTCGAACTTTTAACATATGTTTAAGTGTCTCAAAGCTCAGAAAATTGTTATATTAATATCGTTGTGTTTGATAGGTATTTAGCAGCTATTTGCTATTGTTACTTGAACAATGGAACATAAGAACTGGTAAAATATTCTCCTCAACCATTATTTAACTGATAAAAGGCATGTAGATGAAAACTATGCGTCACCATCTACTTAGTAGTGTATTTGTATCTTTAATTGTGCGTGGGTTTTTATGTACACTTGTGTGCTTGTTGTGATTGGCCATGACCGACCTAATTCACATAGAGCAGAGCATTAGTTTGAATAAGTACAACCAGAACTGCCCCCAAAGACTTTTCACAAGCATTAGAGCTCACATGACACTGTCAATGCTAATTCTCCGCACTATAATTCTCTCAGATTCTCAAGTTCTTTCTCATCCTTCTTTTTCTCTTTGTTTTTATTTATTAGTATTGCCCTTCGCCCAATCAGAAGTGCCTCTCTTGGCAAAGCGACAAAGCACATTTGTGCACCTCCCCATACCCCCCAGTATACTTTATTATCTCATGTCCCCTTTTTGTGCATTCTTTCATTTTTTATTCTCAGAGTGCCTCTGTTATCTAGCAGTATTCTCTTCTTATCATTACGCTTCGTTCGAGAAATCTGATCTCACTGGGGGTGAAGGAGACTACTCATTCCTCCCACTAAACTCTTCTCAACAGCTACAATGGCTGGTATCCATAATAAAAAAGGTATTGGCTCTGATTATCAGCCAAAAGAAGTATCAGGCTCTGTTCAATACCAGAAAAAAACGTTGTCGACACTAGTGGCAATACAATTTTAATCCCAGTGACACTTCATAGCAGCCCAATCAAGGAATTCAATCACTAATCCATAGTAAGCCCATCTTACTATCAGATGCCAACTCAGTCAGCCTAGTCATCGCAACCCATTTCCCGAGCCCAAATGGTCCACACCAGCCCTTAGCCCAATAAATGCCCATTTTACCCTTCACTACCCTACTCAACTAGCCCAATTTGCCCAACCAAATTCCACATCCCATGCTAACCACCAGCCCAATCAGCAAAAACCTGCTCATGAACCTCATGTTCCAATATAGCGAGACACGGATTAGATTACACCCGTCCTTTCCAAAATACAACTTACGAAATTGTTATATTATAATGTGGTTTACTTGGTGAAAAATGGTTCAGGGCCGGATAATGTTTAATTTCTGTTTGGGGTCGGTGTTATTGTACATCATAAAAGAGAAGCAGCATGAGGGGTAGGGAGAGAGGTGCATTCATTAATGATTTACTGCATAACCGCATTTGATACATGACCTTTATGATGCTGCAGAACATTTTTATCACGTTAAGCGGCTAAAATGTTTACTTAGTAAAGGACTTTTATTGAGTTGTTATGTAGTGCATCCACAACTTATCATTTAATTTGAACTTATTCTAACCCAGATGTTACTTGTAACTTGAGTTTCTACAAGAACTCGATTTATTGTTTCTATTATCTCTTAGGACAATATTAACTGATAGTTGCTGTAGTGTAAAATCTTCTCATGCTGACTCTCTAATTTTGAGATTCTAATTACTGGGAGCACAATGCAGGCAAAGCTATTGAATGCTGAAGTGGAGGAATCTAAAGTTGTTAGGAAAGAAGCAAGAAACGCATTATTGGAACTCAGTAGAGATGAGTACAATAGGATACTTGTCATGGAGGAAGGTCTCGTTCTGGTTCCTTTGGTCGGTGCTGATGCCTACAAGTCTTTTAGACCAGCTTTGTATTCATGGCCTTCTTTGCCTGATGGCACAAAGATTGAACTGGGTTCAAAAGGCCCTTCTAGATATGGTGCTTCAGAACTACTACTTGGATTAAATATTCAAGATAGGAATTTAGATTTGGAGGAGGCAAAGATGAATGCGGTAGTCGGAAGAACTCAACAACAGTTCCTTGCCCGCATTGGCGCAATAGAAATGGAAGATGGTAATAAACCCAACAGTGAAGAAGGGAGCTCGAGTCAGAGGTTTACTCTTTTGCCTTGGACGGATGCTATTGCTCGATTGGTTTTGATTCTTGGACTTGAAGACGAGTCGGCAATTACTAGAGCTGCACAATCAATTGCAGATGCATCCTTCAACGAACGTATGCGGTTCTCATTTATGGAAGCTGGTGCTATCAAGCATCTTATTCGGTTAATTAATCATCCCAGTAGCGCCGTTAGATCGGCTGTAATTCTGGCTTTGTACAGGCTATCCATCAGGTATTATTGTGATCTTATGCATGAGATAAAGTAGTGTGCTGAGACAAGGTTTTTTTTTTGAGAATCAGGACTTCAAAAGGCAGTTGAAGCAAATAATTTTTTTTAGATGACCTTTATAAGATTAATTTGCCTGGTCAATGGTTGATCTTCACTCACCTGCTCGGATTGGTCAAAGAGGACCTATCACTTTTTTGGGTTTTACGGGCGGGCGTAAGATTAATCTTTTTTCTGTTATGGTAGCAAATAATCTTCCTCCAATATGGTTGTTTACCATGCACAGAGGGGGTGTAAAAAGTTGATGTAAGCCGATGAAATGTTAGAAACAAAATGCAAATTTGAGGAGCCCAGCCCTCTAGAGTTTTCACATCATGTTTCTATTTGAGAATGGACTCCCCACCCCCCCACCCCCCCCCAACAATCAATTTAAATATAAAAGATACTTACAGAAAGGCAATTTGTCTGGCATTGCTGGAATTTTGTTTGGAATTGTACTTTTGCACATTTACATCCTGCTGTGGAAGGCAGTATATCTGATGTTTTTCTGTCTGTTACATCCATTAATTTGCTCACCTTATTTTTTCTTGAATCAGAATGCATGCAGATTATGCCCTTGTTTGGTATGGATTAAAATTCCAAGTCAAAGTCAACAATTAATTTTAACGATATATTTCATGGGATTTTTTACTTTTCAACCACACATTCCATCAACTTTTATCAAAATCTATTAAAAATATGATTTTATTCTCCACCAAACATGGGCTATAATTCATTGTTGCTAATAAAGTGAGAGTACTGTTATCATGTATGGTGCCTACAGCTGAATTTTATCGATTAAATAGTATCTTAGTATACAACCAGAAATGCTTGCATTTGTGGTTTCTCTCGTCAAGATGTGTCACTTTATATTCATGTTTAAGAATCCCCAAACTTATATGAAAAATCTTTGAAAATTTTCCCAAATTTTATTAAGCTTAATCAACCTCTGACAATGTTCTAAGATCAAGCATTCCGTAAATGCAGCGATCGTGTTTGCCTGAAAATTGAAGCGGAAGGTGTTTTGCACCCTCTAGTTTATTTGCTGAAGCAGTCAGAATCAGCAACCTCGCAGGGCTTGATGGAAATGGTAGTGCTGTTGGTTTGTTTTAACTGAAGTTTTACAATGAAATTTTTTAATTTTCTAAGCTGTAATGAGAAACATTTTGTGTTGAACTGCAGATTGTGAATATTCTAAGTCGGATTTTAGACCCTAACAAAGAAATGAAATCAAAGGTCTGTAGCCACTGGTCAACAGTTATTAGGGGAATCTCAACAGTTCCTTCTTTCACAACATTTTCTGACTATTTATGTCTTTCAGTTCTATGATGGACCAGTAAATGGTTCAGAAAAGGGAATGGATGCTACTGCAATTCCAACATCTGATGGCAATGAGACAATTGCATGCGAATCATCTTCCAGGTTCTTACTCATTTGATCTAATGTTAGAATGTTTCTAAAACATTTGGTGTTAAATCTTCATGACAGTTCATTGGCTTAAACAAAGAATTTTTTTTGATATTGTAACATGGAATCATTGGCTGCTAGATGTCTTCTGGTGTAGATTTACTCATGTTAGTATATTGTGTATTAATTTGCAGCCTATACGTGCCGGAAAAATGACTTCAATTTCTACAATTAACATTTCTGTTTTTGTTGGATATACTTGGTTTGCTGAGTTTTATTTTAGGCTATATTTGGGTCAGTTTTCCAAAATTGTTTCTATTGTGTTTTAATTATTGCCTCTGTTATTGAAAATCTGAAACATTTTGCAGCTAACCTTGTGCATTCAAACTAGTAAATAACTCCCATCTCCCAAGGAAGACCTCCAGAGATATTTTATTTATCAGTTTCATCATATTTGAAGTTTTCAGCTGTAAAGATTTTAATTAATATTTTTTTGGCTCTTTAAAGATCACATCTGTGTGTTTTTTTGGCTAAACGCTGCCATCTGGTTCACCACTACCAAAAAATCTCATGCTTACGTTACTCCTACTGATGGTTGATTATCTTGGATTACGAAGATCCCAGTCCTGCTCCTGGTTTCCATTCACATCATCATATTGACGATAAATCTCCTCGTGCTCTGCCATAAGAACTTGGAGTCAGTATCATGGCGAAGATAAGGTAAGGCTGTGATTCTTGCTCAAAAAAAAGACCGAACTCCCAGTCCTGCTCCTGGTTTCCATTCACATCATCATATTGACGATAAATCTCCTCGTGCTCTGCCATAAGAACTTGGAGTACTTATAATTGAATTGTATATCTCAATGGAAACTGTACAACTAAATACAAAAACAATATCTTGAGGGCATTATATGATATCCATACATAAGCTTCCCAGATATACATATTACCAGTAAACGAGGTACCAAAAAGGTCTTTTACAATTTTTCAAGTACTTGGATAACAAATGGCACCTTATTTTCCAGTGTAACAGTTGTACGAAGTTAACCACATGCTGGGTTAAATTGATTGCATTGCATTCTAGTTGCCACTGCATTTGTATCTTCCTACTCTATCACTGTTAAACTGAATTTGTACTTTTCTTTGCTCGAAACATGCACATATCATTTTGCCTATCACCTGTTTGTGCTCCATTAAAATGTATTTTTGAGGAAGAATGTGTTTTGGAATAGTGATTTTTTGGAGAATGTGTGGTTAAAAAATGAGGAAAGGTTTTGGGTTTACGTGTAATATTATTTTATTGAAGAATGTATGGTTGAAAAGAAGAAATAGAAAAATGCATTAAAATTAAAATGGACCCTCGTTGTTGCCAAAGAGACGCTTGAGAGTTATCATGCATATTTTCATCGTTGAAGACAAGATTTAAATAAATACTTGCAGTCCCTCTCTAATAGTTTAAGCTTTTAGGTGAGATGGTCATGCAAAAAATGCGTGTAAAAGTCTCACCGCTACCCATTCAGAAAACTATGCTCATGCCAGGTCTTTGAAGAGTGAAGCTGGTCTGCATGTGAAGTGGCATGTTCAAGACAGATTTAAATGAATACATGTGATGAGATGGTTAAAGGTCCCATGTTTGCATTGTAACTAATTATCAACATCTTTAGCCCTAGCCAACTTTGGTATACATACATGGCAGTAGCAGATTCTTGTTATTTCTCTCTAAGGAAATATATGCTTTCTTCATTGACTTGATTGTCAATGCAATTGACTGTTTTATAATTAGGCTTCCATTATTTACCCAAAATAATTAGAAGTCGTACTAATATACTACTTTGACAGCACTAATGGGAGAGAGCTTGTGGAGCCCACTGTTCTTAGTCGCCTCGTGGATATCTTGAAGAAATCAAACCTGGATTTACGAAGAAAAGTTGCTTCAATCCTCGAGTTCATTGCAGTGAGTGAGTCTTGCGTGGAACAGATCATCTCGGCTGACATAGAATCTGGTCTAGAAGCCGTTTTTCGACTAAAACCTTTGACAGGTAAGAGAGTTACTTTCAAAATAATTAACTTTTCTTTGGTAAGAAAAGTAACGTGTGATTGGATGCAAAAAGTTACTTGAAAGTAACATTTACTTAAGTTTAACCCGACATGCTTGCTTAGTTTGAATTGATATTATCAGAAAAAGGACATGGTATTGATGATGAGAAGCCAGAACTGCAATCACTGGAACTTGAAGAAGCCGGCCAAGCAGTATCTGCAGCATCGCGATTACTTGCAAGGTTGCTCGATTATGATCTCTTTCGTCGAACTATTAATCCTCTCCACTTCACCAAATTGCTTCGTGCCGCCCTCATGTCCGGCATTCCTCTTCACAACAAGGACTGGGTTGCTGCTTGCCTAGTTAAATTAAGCTCTTTGTTAGGTCCCAATCTCGACCTTGAGAATCCAGTCAACATTGAAGTAACCCTATACGAAACAATCCCAAGATTGATAGAACAAATTAAGAGCTCGTACTCTACCGAGGTTCAAGAAGCCGCTGTTTTAGAACTCAACCGAATAATATCCGAAGGGTTGGTGGATTCTACTCAAGCTGTTGCAGCCGAGGGGGCAATATTTCCACTGGTGGAACTGCTCGAATCCGGGACCGAAAGAGCTGTTGAAGCTGGCTTAACTATACTGTATAATTTAAGCATGAAGAGTGAAAATCATGCAGCCATTATCTCTGCAGGAGCAGTTCCTGTATTGAGAAGAATCGTTCTTTCAGAAAGGTCAAACTGGATGCTTGCTCTTCGTTTGCTCAGAACTTTACCTACATGATTGTAAGTCAAGGATGACACAATAATGTCAGTTATCGATTTGCAGCAATTTTTGGTGTATTAGTCTGAATGTATTTCAAACTCTTATTAAACTTTTTATTTAACAATTCCAATAGAATATGTTTTACCACTTGAGTAATAATTTCTTTTCATATTTTTAAATTACCAACGGCATTTGAATTTTTTTCATTGTAATTAATTGTAGAAAAAAATCATATTTTTACTTTAAAACGATATTTATATCAACCTTATTTTAGATTATATATAGCTCAAAAAAATGGTCCAGATGTGTATGTGATACTCAAATAAAGGAGGTTAGTAATATATTTGAAACGCGAGGGAATGTTTCTAATATTTTTAGAAAAAAATGGAGTGTCTCTGATATTAAAATAATTAATAAACTATAAAGTTATTGGAGCATTACTTTATAATAATAATAAAATCATAAGCAGGTCAAATTGAATTTACTCATGAGAGGAGTCCACATTTGACATATACTATATTTTGTGGGCGAGTTGGTTAACTGCTTCCAACGACAAAATTGTGGGAAATTTTTTTCTTCTTAACACCAATTTAAAACATGTTTTTGCTAAGCATATAAAATAAAAAAAGTTCAAAAGTACATAAAAAAAGGTATAACTTCCAAAGAAGTTGCTTCAACAATGTTTTTCAAGAGTTATGATCCTTCACAAGAGTCATGATTATTAACGAAGTTAATTGCATAATCAATCATGAATCAAATGGGGTGAAAAAAATCGAAAAACCCATGAATATGTGAATAAGAACCTAGTGCATACCGGGGCGAATTACACCCAACATGCACGAATAGTGCATGACATAGCCCGGTCGTCCACATGTTCTGGATGGTAGCCACTCACACCACGGCGACCACGACTCATTCTTCTTATTCCTCCATCATCCCGAACCTTTATTGAATGGATATCATGACTCATGCAAATTCTTTTTGGTATAATAAGGGAATAATACATTTTTAAAGTGTTTACTTTACACATTTTCAAAAATACAAAGACAAGTTTCAAATTTCACAAATCAGGTTTTTTTATTTATGAATTAATGAATTATTAAATCAATTTATTATTAAATATTTAATTCAAATATAATATAAATACCCCACCCCACCTCCACCACCCTTACCTCTCCGGGGACTATTCCGACTACCGTTCCGATCACAACTCATCTCCGGCGACCATTCCGAAGCATTCCGACAAATGTTCCAACTTCGACGAAAATTTTTAGGTCACAACTTAAAAATTTTAAAGTCATAATTTGTTCATTGGTCACAAATCACAAAATCTATAAGTCACAATACTTATTTAGGTCACAATTTATCAAATTATTAGTTACAAATTAATAATTATTAGGTCACACATCACGTATTGGTCACAATTTGTTCATCGGATACAAATCACAAAATTCATAAGTCAACACTACTTATTTTATGGTCACAAATAAGGATGACACAATAATGTCAGTTACCGATTTGCAGCAATTTTTGGTGTATTAGTCTGAATGTATTTCAAACTCTTATTAAACTTTTTATTTAACAAATCCAATAGAATATGTTTTACCACTTGAGTAATAATTTCTTTTCATATTTTTAAATTACCAACGGCGTTTGAATTTTTTTCATTGTAATTAATTGTAGAAAAAAAATCATATTTTTAATTTAAAACGATATTTATATCAACCTTATTTTAGATTATATATAGCTGAAAAAAATGGTCCAGATGTGTATGTGATACTCAAATAAAGGAGGTTAGTAATATATTTGAAACGTGAGGGAATGTTTCTAATATTGTTAGAAAAAATGGAGTATCTCTGATATTAATATAATTAATAAACTATAAAGTTATTGGAGCATTTCTTTATAATAATAATAATAAAAAAAAAAATCATAAGCAGGTCAAATTGAATTTACTCATGAGAGGAGGTCCACATTTGACCTATACTATATTTTGTGGGCGAGTTGGTTAACTGCTTCCAACGACAAAATTGTGGGAAATTTTTTTCTTCTTAACACCAATTTAAAACATGTTTTTGCTAAGCATATAAAGAGTATGTTTGGGCAAGCTTAAAATCCAATTAAAATTGAAAATATAATTGTTATTGGGTCCCACTCGTCTAATAAAAGTAAAAAATAACGGCTAGTTTTTCAATTTTAATCCAATTTTAATCTCTACCGAAGACTCCCAAAATAAAAAATGTTTAAAAGTACATACAAAAAAAGTAAGACTAACTTAAAAAAAAAAAAAGATATAACTTCGAAAGAAGTTGCTTCAACAACGTTTTTCAAGAGTTATGATCCTTCACAAGAGTCATGACTATTAACGAAGTTAATTGCATAATCAATCATGAATCAAATGGGGTGAAAAAAATCAAAAAACCCATGAATATGTGAATAAGAACCTAGTGCATACTGGGGCGAATTACACCCAACATGCACGAATACGTGCATGACATAGCCAGGTCGCCCACGTGTTCTGGATGGTAGCCACCACCGCGACCACGACTCATTCTTCTTATTCCTCCATCATCCTGAACCTTTATTGAATGGATATCATGACTCATGCAAATTCTTTTTGGTATCTAATAAGGGAACAATGCATTTCTAAGGTGTTTACTTTACACATTTTCAAAAATACAAAAACAAGTTTGAAAAGTCACAAATCAGGTTTTTAAAATTTTTAATTAATAATTAATGAATAATTAAATCAATTATTTATTAAATATTTAATTCTAATTTAATATAATTACCCCACCCCACCTCCACCACCCCAACCGACTTTCCGATCACCACTATTCTCCGGCGACTGTTCCGGTGACCGTTCCGGCGACTATTCCGGTAACAGATTTACAACTTATGGTCACAACTCAAAAATTTTGTAGGTCACAATTAATTCGTCGGTCACAAATTTCAAANCAGAGGTCACAATTTGTTTATTGATCACAACTTAAAATTTTAAAAGTCACAATTTGTTCATTGGTCACAAATCACAAAATCTATAAGTCACAATATTTATTTAGGTCACAATTTATCAAATTATTAGTCACAAATTAATAATTATTAGGTCACACATTAAGTATTGGTCACAATTTGTTCATCGGACACAAATCACAAAATTCATAAGTCACGCTATTTATTTTATGGTCACAAACATCACATTAATTGAACATAAATTATATTTAGGTCACAAATTAATAATTTTTAGGTCACTAAACATTTAGTAGTCACAGTTTATCTAACGCATTGATCACATATTATTTATTGATCACAAATCAACCAAGTTATTGGTCAAAAACGACCTAATCATTTGTGACCACCACCAAACAAACCACCACTTCGCCACCTCTACTAGCGGCACCACCACCTCGACACCCAATAGCAACATCAATATCTCAAACAAATCAAACCCCACACCCTCACACCACCACTATCACCACCCCCAAAAACCACATCCACCACAAAAAACCACCACTACTTCACCATCACCGCGACGGCAGCGACGACGATGCCACCAACACCAACAGAACCATTTCTGAGCTCCAACTTACCACCCCAAAACCCCAACAACACCAAAACAAGGAACCACGACCGCCACTACCACTCCAACAACAACAAAAAACCACGATCTCAAAATACTAAACAACAGCAAACTCGTCGTCGGATCTGCCATAGCCAACCACGAAAATCACTAGCATTATCTAATTGACACTGGGAAATTGAATCTCACCGATCGGGTAGCGTCAAAGAGGGAGAAATTGGAGGCGAGAATTGATTGCATGAGGGAGAAATTGGATGGGATGATGGAGAAATTGGATGGGCAGGAACGAAGTAACGTCAAAGAGGGATTGGGACAATTGATTTTAGGGCTTCTCAGTCTACCTGGTTTGACACTGTAGAGGCGGACGAGGTTTGAGGCGGCGAGACCACTGGATCTGCAACGCGATGCTACAGAACACTGAGACCACTGGACAACGGCGACGCTACTGAACAACGGCGATGCTACTGAACAACCGCGAGCGGCGATGAGTGCTGCAGTTTGGGTAAAGAGACGGAGAAGAGAAGAGGATAATAGGTAGAGTGAGCGACGGTGAGAATAGAGAAGGTGGAGGCAGCATCAATTATTTCTCCGGCGATGGGAAGAATCGTAGGCTGTAGTGGCGGCGGCGATGTTTGAGCAGAAAGAGTGGAGAGGAGATGGGTTTGATTTTAGGGTTTGATATTAGGGAGATTTGGTAGGGATGGTATATAAATTAATTTATATTGTATATAGATATAAAAATAAAAATAAAAACAATATTAAATAAAACCTGATTTTTGTATTATAAAACTTGATTCTTGATTTGTGAAAATGAAAATCTAAAATCAGGACTGGGTGTAATTTCCTGATCTAATAATGTCCAAAACCGACATTATTTGAAACTTGTTTCCAACATTTTAAATGGGCATGTGTATGACAAGATTACGGAGAAAGGCGCCTTCGTGTAACATGAAATGATTTTAACGCCCTTACGTGGCATTAACAAACTCTCGTAACAGTATTATATTTTTCTAATCGTCTCATATTATTTTAACAGTAGATCAAGGGTAATTATATTCATACCTTATTTTTAATTGCAATGAATGTTCCTAACTTTTGTTTATTTTTACGCTTATATCCTAACTTATTTCGTCAAACTCTAATCATCAACCTTGTATGAATTTGCACATATTGTTTAAGACAGTTTCTCACCAAGAAATTTGTTAGAAAAACGTAAAAAGAATTGTCTCTTATCTTTAAATAAGAGAAATAAACAACAAATATAATAATTTGACAAAATATTTGCTCTTCGTTTCAATGTATGTTAGTAGAATATTTGGATAGAAATAATTGTCAAAGATAAGATATACTAATTAATTGAATGTTTGATATACCGAAAAAAATTAAAAGAGTAAAAATGAGAAAGTATTGAGAACCTTAATTGTAATTAAAATGTGATATAGAAAATAAAAAATGTGGTACAAATATATTTATCCATAGATCAATTGTATGATATATACACACATATTCATCACATAAAGAGTCTTTATCTCTATAGTTATTTATAACAATATAAGTAAGGTCCTTTACATATTTTTGTTTCAGTTATATATATACAAGAAAATAAGAGTAATGTTATTCATAATAAAGATTACTGATAGTCGTCACACATGACATATATGTATCGCTTTGTTATTTGATGCATTAAATGTCGATAGTCGCCATACGTGGCATATATGACAAAATGACAAGTGCATGCCACTGTTTAAAACGACTATCGATAGTTTTCACCATGAATAGTATTGTTCATAAAATAATAATTCATAACTAAGAATTGCTGACTAGGAACGCGCTACCTTGGATTCTTTGTATTATTTTAAGTTTTTGTTTGGCTTAATTAAAAATTGATAAAAATATAAATCAAAATTAATAAATAATTTTAATAATATATTTTATGGATTTCACAATTTTTATTCACTTTTTAACCATAAATTCTATCAATTTATATTAAAATATACCAAAATCTGTTTTTTTAACAAAATCAAACCGATGGTAAATCTTGTTTATTGGTGGGTAGCTGTACAATCTTGTCCACTTTAAATATTTTACATTTTTGTTTTATTTCTTTTTAATAAAAAAAAAATATTAAGGGTGTGTTTGATGGATATTATTGATGAAAAAATGTATTTTAAATAGTAATATGGTGAGAAATATGTAGTTAAAAAGTAGAATAATGTTATCATCCCCAGTGGAGTTGAGCCCCAATTTATGTGGCAATTACATAACATTAAATTATAGACTCAATTAAATGAGTCATGTAACTTTGTATTTAAATGAATATATCATTTAATACAATATAATTGCCACAAAGATTAATGCACAACCCCAGCGGGAATGAATAGCATTACTCTAAAAAGTAAGGAAAAATTATTGATGTGATGAAAAATATTATTTTATTGAAAAACGTGTGGTTAAAAATGAGTTTTAAAAAAATATATTTTTCCAAAAATGTGCACCAAACGGGAGCTAAATAAAAACTTTTGTCAAAACAGTGACGATGACTGGTATCGTCATCAACGGCAAACGGACCGCCACCCAACCAACCATAGGAACCAAAGCCCTTTCACGGGAAAAGGAAAAAAATTTCAAGGGGTCCTTCAACTGTTAGGTTTGTTTTATTTCAGTAGCTCAATTTTTATATAACTCGATCTAATTTGCATTTTAGTTTCAATTTGAGCTTTGTTTCAGTCTAAAACCAACTTTACGCTAAATCAACATTGATTCGGCAAACGCATTGAAATAAGATTCTTATAAAGCTCATGTTTGATTTTGATAAAAATAAGATTTTTAATAGATTTTAACAAAAGTTAATGCAATTTGATAAAAAATAGTTTGACGAAAAATGAGTTTTAAGAAACGGAGACCAAATAGGGACTAAATGTTCTTAATAATCATGATGACTCGATCATCATCCATAGTCTTATGCCTTAGAGCATTTTCAAAGATATAACAAATTGATGTAAAAATATCAATTTAGTGTAAAATTTCACTTCGATGACACAAAATGATCACATCAATTAGGTGCAATAAATGATGTAACATTGTTCATTCGGTGTAATTCATATAAGAGGATATTTAATTTATTTAGTTTTTATTTATAATCCGCATATAATTTGAAATGTCTTTGATTGTATAGCATAAAATCTTTCATTGTATATCGTTGTAATAGTCTATAAATTAAAGGCAATACATACGAGAAGATTATTTTGCAAAATCGTGACATGGTATCAGAGCCCTAATCTCTTCTGGGTTAAAATAATATCCATTCAAACTTCTCTTGATGATAAAAAAATACTGATTTAACATCAACGAGTGTCAACTTGTGCATTGATCAACCATACAAGAATTGTTGTTACTCGAATTCAGTGTGGATTTAATTTAACTACGAAAATTTTTAACACAAAATTTTGAAACTTTGAAAAATTATAATTTTTTATAGTTGAATTAAGATAAAATGAAGTTGAGTGATTAATATGAAAGAAACTTGTAAGTTAAGAGGCATCTTATGAAAAATTTGCAGAAATAAAAAAATGAAAAACAGAGGGAAAATCCGTATTTCCATTTTCGAGTAACAATAAAAACAACCCATTTGTTTCTCTCTCTTGCAGGAAACACGTATAAAATCCAATTTGTAAGAGAAATCAATAGAAAATAAAAAAGAAGAGAAGAAAAAGAAGGCGATCTGAACGGAGGAAGAGGCAAATGGGCACAATTCAGACATGGAGAAAAGCATACGGTGCTCTAAAAGATCACACCAAAGTCGGACTTGCCCATGTTAATTCCGATTTCAAGGTTTCTCTCTCTCTCTCTCTGTATATATATATTACGTGTATGGTTGAATTTGATTAATTACACAGAAAGAAATGGGGAATAAAAATTTGATGATTGGATTTATGGGTTTTTCTGTTTTCTTTGGATGGCTTAAAATAGGATGTGGATGTGGCGATCGTAAAGGCTACAAATCATGTAGAAGTTCCACCAAAAGATAGACACCTCAGAAGTGAGTTTTTCTTTTTATATTGTAATTTATAGTATTAGATCCATAATTTGGAGTTTTATGATTTTCTATATTTCAGGAGAGATTTTATTTTATTTTTCGGCCGGACCTAAAGGAGAATAGTAGTTTTTCGGCTTTTTTTCAAAGGATGTGCATTTTGGACTTGGTTGTCAGTTTGTTTTAAGAAAATATGAGAAAAACAATTCTTGGAATTTTTGTTTTCTGGGAAATTATGTGATTTTATAACTCGTGTTCTCCAATTTTTAGATTAACCCTTGAATTTCAGGCTTGGGGTCTAATAAATTCTAGAGAAAATATCATTCCTAACTTGGATTCATCTATGCACTACCTAAAATAAGTTTACTTATGTGGTTTCTTTTTTCCTGTTTAAGAGAAATTAGGAGTCTTTTTACTTGGGAATTCATGTTCGTTTAGCCAGAATGAGTGACTTTGACACGGTACTGTTATTGTTCTGTTGCTTCTTGCAGAAATTTTGGCTTCCACATCGGCGATTCGGCCTCGGGCTGATGTTGCATACTGCATACATGCACTTGCAAGACGGTTGGCAAAGACACACAACTGGACGGTATCGATTCTGATATAACGGGGCTTGAGTTTCAGTATTGCATTATGTACTTGTTGCGGGCCTTTTCGGTGTGATTTTGTTAGCGTTAATTTGGCTATGGACTTGATTTGAGTGTGATTTGCTGTCCAAGTGTATCCATGAGAATTTTTTTGACGATTTGAAAATTGGAGTTGCACTCTTTCTTTCATGCAGTGAGCCAGCGAAGTTCACTTTCCTTGACTTATCAGTGATTATTATCAACCTGATGTTGCGTTTTATTTGGAAATTCACGTCAAATCTTTTGTGTGTCTAACAGTTTGTCAAAACACAGCACTGATTATAAAGATTGTGAGCCAAAACTTCATCCGCAAGAACTTTCACTAAATGTTCATGTGAACCAGTAAATGATCTAGAGCTATAAATACATCATTTACGTTTTAATTGGTGCTTTACCTTCTGGAGATCTGGTAATGATGAGTAATTTAGACCACTGTCATTTTATTCTTTCATTGATCGTAAAGCTTATGATTATAGTGTTAGCGTGTTGTATGTAGGATACATGTTTGTTTGAATATCTCTTCTGTATGGGCCTATTTTTCTTTTTCAGTATAAATGATTTTATTCTTTGTTGGTTTTGTCACTTGGAATGGTTTTTAGTTTGGCAGTGTATTAATGGAATCAATTAATGCATAAATCTATAGGGTTGAACTATGGCCTCAACAACAATCTAAGCTTAATTTCAATGAACTCGAGGTGTCGTTCATGAATTTTTTTCTGCCTCCCCATCAAATTCAATGCTAAACTGAAATGTCCAATGAAATAGAATATTTTTCAACCACACCATATTATGTTAATTCTGGTATACTTATTCTTCGTTCTAACATGTATTGCTACAACACATCACTCTTGTGAATGAAAGCCTCTTTAGGTCTGTAAAAATATACGCCTCTTTATAACTATTTATTATTTTATCCATTATAACATGGCCACCACGTATGCATTTTAACATCATCATTAGTAGGATTTAAATTGTTAAGTATAGTTGGTATAATAACCATCAGGCAAACTTTTTAACTCAAGAAGTATCTTCTTATTACTTCTCCATTTTGTACAACTCAATATCACTTAAATGTTATGTCATTTTCAAGCCAGCCAGCCTTAATTATGACCATGTCTAAATACATAGATAGTCAGTTTTGGTGCATCAAGATCTTTCCATGGTGATTCGAACTATAGTTTCTGTCTTAGTCCTACTTACGTGAAACATTTAGATTTCAAAAGTGTTCTTCCAATGTTGTAGCATACACCTTTGTCCCCTTTCTTGCGTCTTCAACTAGAACTATATCATTAGCAAATAACACGTGCCAATGGAACTCATCTTGGATTTTTTATAAGTTCATCCATGACTAATACAAAAGGATGAAGATTTAGAGCAGAATCTTGATACAGGCTTATACTAATAAAACTTGCTACATTTACTCCTGTTAGATACCACCTTCACAACTTTTCTGGCAAAAACAAATTTTCATCAACTCAACTTAGTGAATTATTATATTGAGATTATCATTATAATTTTCAGCTTGAGGCTTTTATCATTGCAAATTGTATTTTATTGTCAATCTTGACCTAAACACTTTGAAGTTTTTACTTTCAGATATCACATTTACATTTTCAGATTATGGAAAAGCCTTTGGATTTTTTGGATGTATTTGCAAAGACATTTTTCAGCTACTCAACTCAAACTAAACTGTCCAGAGACATTTTGCATCATGTTTTCCCTTGTTTACTCGACTTTTAAGATGGGGAATGCGTCCCCATAAGAGAAGATCCTGCTGCAGCATAAGATGATCTTCTTCCCAATAGTTTGACCTTGTCTGGGGCGATACAAAGTGCTGAGCACGTGAAATCTTTCTGCATGATTAACCTCTGGGGGAAACAGCGTAGTTTAGGAATTTCCCTCTAGGTTAGCCTAGAGTCACATTGAGTTAGATTGGGTAACTTTCCCTTTAGTAACCACCTTTCCCAGGGTGGACTGGCTACCTTCTTTGTGTTGTAGCTGAAGGACTCAGTCAAAACAGACTTGCTTTTCTCATCGAATAAATACAGGAAAGAATTTTTCCCCTCATCCTTTTCTTTTATTTTCGCTTAAGCTGGCATATACGGATCGGAATCTATCCAAACCCAAAGGGGATTGCTCCCTTCATTCGTCCTGCTCTTCTAGCCTTCAATCTCCTCTATTTTCTAGTATCCATCCAATTTTAAGATTCCACGAGTGAAGTAAACGTTATTTATTTTTATTTCACATCTGTGGGTTGAAAGAAAATCAAGGAATAAGTTCATTACTCTTAGTTATTATAGTGATTTCTGAATATCGCCTGTTTGGTGTTATTCTTCTCCATTTAGACACGAAGTTTGGTTTTTCCAAGGTTTTGAATAAATTCTTTCTGGATCTGTAGTGTTGGTATCTGATTGAGTCACATGGGAGTTTCTATGCATGTTGCCAATATCAAAGGGAAGACTTTTATCATATATTCTAAGCATATGTGCTGTTTGTACATGCGAGTCATATTATTATGGGATCAATTGTTTTCACAGCATGGACTAGAGTAAATTCAGTTTAGCCTATATGATCACATTTTTATGTATAGTTTCCTCGTGCTTTTCCCAACAGGTTGCATTGAAGACACTGATAGTTATTCATAGAACATTGAGAGAAGGTGATCCCACATTTAGGGAGGAACTTTTGAATTTCCAGCAGAGAGGACGCATCCTTCAATTGTCCAATTTTAAGGATGATTCAAGTCCCATCGGTGAATGACAATGCCCTGTTTTCCTGATTTTTATGTTCTTGTCTTTTATCATCCTCCCTGCCTCAGAACGCAAGACCAATTTATGCCTGCTTTCTTTTGCCAGCTTGGGATTACTCTGCCTGGGTTCGGACATATGCATTCTTCTTGGAAGAAAGACTTGAATGCTTTAGGATACTGAAGTATGACATTGAAGCCGAGCGTCTTCCAGGATCTGCTCAAGGCCAAGAGAAGGTTGTATCATTTTCTGAATCTTGTGAACATGGTCCCTTTTCAGTGAATAATGATCTGTGTAAATTTTTGCTTTACAATCTAATTTGTGGAGCATGATGTTCATTCTGCATGAAATGTCTTAAAGTGTCTTGTCTGCTTTTCTTTTAGGAATTCTAGAGTAATTGTTGCATGATTATGGTTGAATTGAATGCTTTCATCTATTTGCATCTGATATATTCAGTGATTATAAGTCTCATTTGAATTTCTCAAGGGAATCACTGGAATGTTCTGAACTTATACTTTGAAACTTGATGGGGTTTGGCTTTATTTGTGAGGCTCCAATAGGATCAGTGTTCCTCCTTGATATGGATGCTCAGATGGCTTAGGCCAGTGAATTTTTTTAGTCTCAGAATTTACATTACAATCCCATTAGAACCTGGCAATGGTGGAGCACAAAAGAACATTATTTCAAGATTAATTTATGGTTTATTACTTCCAAACTTGATTGAAAATTTTATAGTTTTGTTCCTTGGTTAGCAGGGTTACAGTAGGACTAGAAACTTGGACAGTGAAGAACTTTTGGATCAACTGCCTACTTTGCAGAAACTGCTGTACCGTCTTGTTGGATGCCGGGTACTTTCTGATTTTTCATAACCACAATTCTTGGGCGCATCCATTTTCCAGTTTATAATTTTATTCCCCAACTTTCCTGGGGTAAACTCTGAAATTCCTTGTCATCAATATAATAGAAAACTGATTATAGTGAACTATTATGAATTTTCAGCCTGAAGGAGCAGCTGTTGGAAATTATGTGATTCAGTATGCCCTTGCTCTGGTGTGTGATCTATTTCTGTACCTCCAATATAGATTATAGATGTGGTTAGCAAATTCCATAATCTTCACAGGAACAAGGAAAAAAAAAAGTAAATATACAGAAATGATTGCTATTGTGAATTTAGTATGAGGTTAAGCTGTGAGTAATATAAAGAAAAATCTTTTCATCTGTAAACATGGAAAGAAAAGAAAATGGTTGGGAAGGGGAAGATGGATATGACATCAGCATAATGAAAGTCATCATTGTTCTCAATTTCCCTCTTCTCACTTGTGGAAAAAGGGTACGAAAATATTCCAGTCGCTTTTTTTAGAATTTTTAGTTCATTAAATTTGTATTTCATAATTTCTGTCCATGATTGATTTAAGATATAACTTGAAGATTGCTGATATTTCCTGGTTAATATATGTGATTTCAGGTGCTCAAAGAGAGTTTTAAAATTTATTGTGCTATAAATGATGGAATTATCAATCTTGTTGACAAGGTAACATGACTGTTAGGTTTACCAGATTAATTTCTTAAAACTATATTTTAAAAAATTGTCTCATTTCTTTGATTTCCATCTCAGTTTTTTGAGATGCCAAGACATGAAGCCATTAAAGCTCTCGATATCTATAAAAGAGCTGGTCAGCAGGTAGTTTGTTGCTCTGCAGACCTCAATATTGAACTTCTTCAGTTATATATAAAATGTTTTCTAGTCACTCATAGGCTAGGAAGCGAGGGACTTGTACTTGATTTATGGCTGTCGTAAAAATGTTGTATGTTATTACGCAGGCTGCTAATCTTTCTGATTTCTATGAAGTTTGCAAAGGACTTGAACTTGCTAGAAATTTCCAGTTCCCTGTGTTAAGAGAGGTAAAGTGACTGCATTGGATTTGGTGCCTTAACTTTCTCTAGTACTTTTCTTTAATCTTCAAATGACAAGTCAACACATCATGCCATTTTTTTTCCTAGCCTCCACAATCCTTTCTCGTGACCATGGAGGAATATATAAGAGAAGCACCACAGATGGTTTCTGTTCCAATTGAACATTTGGTTAGTATCTCATTCCATGCTGTTGAAACTTAATTGATTTAGGGGATTCTAGTTCCTATTATGATTCTTTCCTAAATTGTATTACTTCTGTAGGTTGACATGTAGATTGTAGGCTGTAAATTTTCCTTGGAAAACTGTAGTTTCCTAGAATATGTTCTCAGGGCAGTATATGAATTCCATGATATTTTCAATATTTGTGTAAACTAAATTCTGATTTCTCCACATGGTAGTAGAGCCTGGTAATAGTCCTCTTCTAGAGTTCTTTTTCCAAGTCCGTTACAGAATCTGGTGGCCTTTCATTCATGCCTTCTTGCTCTACTTTCGTTGCAGAGATTTTTTCTTTCTTCTCGCCTTCCATGTCAATCTACTATACCCATTTTTTCTTCTTTTGAGAGACCCGGACCTCAATTGCCAATGTCCCTCTTATATTTCCAGATTTCATTACCCAGAGTTTTTCCTATACTGACATGCGGCCATATCCGGACTTCTTATTTATCCCTTTAACCGTTTGTCACTTCTATTCTTGTTGTCGTTGGTTTGATTTCTGCAGTAACAAATACGCTCCCTGGAAACACCACTTTTACTTTTCGTAGTGAAAATTCTAACCCCAAGTCACAGCTTTCAAACAAAGTGGCCAACATTTTCTTTAGTGTAATCAGTCGATTTATAATCCACAATGGGAGAAACATATTAAAGCTACGTATAGGTTCTTAGGTACTTAATGGTCCATGTGGGGGCGGGTTCTTGTACAGAAGAGATGGAGCATGATATTCTCTCTGGCTGAAGTGGGAAGCAGTGTACGTTGAAAAGGTTAGAAGATGGAGTGGAAGGCTATATTGATGCATATTCATATTGAGTTGGTTCTCTCTGTGATCAAATATCTGGTAGTTGACATTGTACATTTATTGGTGGGGATCATATCACTAGAGGTGTGAAACAATTAGTGATGGCCAAATAAAGTGCAGAAGATGAATTGAGATAAATGGCTAAAGGTCTGTGGGTTATTTTTTGACAAGAATGGTTTTTGTTGATTTGAAAGTGAGAGTGGAAGTTCCTATGGAGTTGTACGCGACACGCATCAGCCATAAGCATCCTGCCCCCTGACCAAATTAGTCAGATTTGGTAGTTTCCTATTATAGGTTGTAACACACAGCTGTATATGGACTACTGTTGTAATCTCAATAGCCGCAAATGAAATTATGATTTATCCGCACATAGCTACACCATTTTGCAGGCACCAATTTTTACTGCCTTTCATATGCATTGTTAGTATCTTATGAACTCTTGGCATATAATAATTTTTAAAGATACAATCTACAACTCTAATTTGAAGCAATGCATCTATCAGGAATATCCGGAGAGGCTTCAGTTGACATATAGACAAGAGGATGTTCCATCACCTTCGGAAGATGCAAAAGAGTTATCTGAGGAAGCTAAACCACCGCCTTCAGATGATGCTGCTGTCTCAACCACTGAGGCAGCTTTTCCTCCTCCACCTCCTTTTCCTAATAACTTGGACACTGATGATTTACTGGTGAGTTCCTTTACCTGTTATTCACTTACCATTGTGATTGAGCTTCAGCGGTCAAACAGTCTGCTATCTGCATTTCCGTGTTCTGTTTACTGCATCCATTTTGTATTTAAATTATTTCAGGGCTTGAATGCTACTGCACCTGATGCATCTGCTATTGAGGAAAGCAATGCGTTGGCTTTGGCCATAGTTCCAACTGGTTAGGATTTTCTAAGTGCTCCTTTCTCTCTGTCTTATATGTTCATCATGTTTTAAAAGGAAAATCTTATGATATCTTCTACATGCTGCAGATACCGCATTTGACTCTAGTGCTTCACAATCCAAAGATTTTGACCCTACCGGATGGGAACTTGCCCTGGTCACTACTCCCAGTAGCAACTTATCTTCAGTTCAGGAGAGGCAATTAGTACGTCTTTCTGCACTTGGTAGCCTAGCGAATTATTAACATCATTCTCTCTACCTTACATATCTTCCATCTTCGCATTGTGTTTATTCAATAGAATAATTAATTTGTTTTCTATAAATGTAGCTGTGCCTATGGATGGTGTGCATTTAAGCATCTTTTAGGCAATCGACTCTGGCCACACATGTCAAAGATTTCTTTCGCAGAAATATAATATGCACATGCCATATCTGAGGGTGAAATTAGAAAGCAGGGTGTATTACATGCACATAAGATTAGGGGAACTGAAGGGAGAAAGATGATGAGGAGATGCGTAAAATAAGTCTATATAAGAGAATATGACTGCCAGTGAGAGTTCTTTTAAGCTGTGGAAGTTCAATAATTGGGAGTGCTTATTAGTGATTATAATCTGTGAGTGTTATGAAATGTGTTGATAATAAGTCGATAGAAGCTGTGAATCCTATTTAAAGAAATATGTTTGATCAGCTTAAATTATAATTTAAGCTTTACCGAACATGCACGAATTTATTTCAGTTAGAAAAGAAATAGAATGTGATAACAAGAAGGAACCACTATAGCGTTTCCTTAAAATTTGATTTACAGATGGAGGGAGTGCGGTATGGGTCAGATGGGTATCTGAAAACTTTGAATAAAATTATTTATTTCATTTGTGACTAATCAGCAGTGACTGAACAGAGTACATATAGGAGAAGGAAATAACAGAAAGCTGAAAAACTGATCCTATTCTACTGGAACAGAAGAACAGAAAAAAACAATCTGGTCCTAAAAGATAATTCAAACTCCTATATATTAGGAATTTATTCAAACATAAAATACAAAATAATAAAAAATTTAATAACTCAACACTCCCCCTCAAATTGTTGTATAGATATCTATCATGCCCCAACTTGCTGATTAAGTGATCAAACGTAGGTCGATGAAGTCCTTTAGTCAAGATATCTGCAATTCGTTGTGTAGTTGGAACGAATGGCATGCAAATAACTCCTCCTAATTTCTCCTTGATAAAATGTCTATCCATCCCCACATGCTTGTACTAGATTGTGTGCAATACTAATAGCCACTTTATTGTCACAATAGAGTTTCATAGGTAATTCATCGCTCATTTGCAATTCCTTCAAAACTCGTTGCAGCCACATAATCACACACATTCCAAGAGCTATTTCTCTAAATTCAACTTATGCACTGCTCCTGGCTACAACATTTTGTTTCTTGCTTCTCCAAGTAACCAAATTTCCCCGAACAAAGGTGCAGTACCCAGATGTATATCTTCTATCAATTACTGAACCGGCCCAATCAGCATCAGTAATGGCATGTTTTGGATAACAAACCAAACCGTGCCATAAAATGTATTAACTGTAAAATTAATAAAAGGAAACATTTCATGTAAATCAACACTTGAAATTTCATTTACAGTGTATATGGTTTTGTCTCCTTTCAAACATTTGAAACATTTGGATAGTAATGGTAAATCAACAATTAGAAGTCTTTTTTTTTATCGGTAAATGTAAAATTTTATAGATCAAAACTCATATATAAGTACACATACCCGGGCTTACAATCAAAAGATCAAATGATTTACAGACGATAAGATCTAAAGACTCAAAATGAATCAAAACACGAGGATATAGCAGTTAGAAGTCAATTTTATCTCCATATACAGCAGTTACAGTTTTTCTTCCTTGGCAGGCTGGTGGACTGGATTCTCTTACTCTTAATAGCTTGTACGATGAATCTGCATATAGAGCATACCAGCAACCAGCATACGGAGCGCCTGTTCCCAATCCATTTGAAGTTGCCGATCCATTTGCTTTGTCCAATACTATTGCTCCTCCTCCAGCTGTTCAAATGGCTGCCATGTCTCAATATCAAAGTAATCCTTTTGGTTCGTTCGAACCTGCTTATCCCCATCCCCAACAGCAACAAAATTTACTGATGACCCCACAAAATCCTTTTGGCGATTCGGGTTTTGGGGCATTTCCTGTCAACCCCGTTGCTCACCCTCAAGCAAGCAACCCATTTGGGAGCTCCAGCCTACTATAATAAAAATGCACATACGTATATGGGGAATGCAATTTACTTGGCCTAGTTGATTTTTTGTATGTTTGAAATGAGTGAAGCAGTGTGGTTGTGCCATCTCATTCGTGGGAAGGTGATTTTTTCAGCTCGAATCGCATCTTTCATTGTAAGGACAAAACAAATAGAAATGTAATTTCATGTTGATATGATACAAGATTAGTGACATGGTTGGATGTTTGTTATTGACAATTTTCCTATTTAATGTTCAAAAATGCACTTAGATTTCAAGTTAGTTTTAGTAAGATGTCCAGTTTATGTTGGTTTGGCACTAGCAGGATTCTTGATATTTGCAAGTTTAGCTTCTATATGTTTTGAACTAACATTTTTTGCTTAATACGATGAATGAGGTGTCGTTAGGTCCATCTGTTTGGTGCGTAGCATTGGATGGTATGGTACGGCATGATAATTTATCGAGCTTAATATACAAATTATGCCCCGGAGATAAGTTTTACCCCTTGCTTTATAAGTTACAGCAACAGGTGTCAAAACAGCTGTAGGGATGCAGACCGTCCTGCGTTGCCTAGCCTCAAATGGTGAGGGATACCCCGCCTATCGGGATTCAGGGCGGGGATGGTCCCTGTCCTGAGTTTTATTTTTTAATCTTATGTTTTTAAATTTAAGTTGTATTTAAAATAAAAATGAGACGAAAAAATGTGGATATTTTAATTCATGTTCCTTCCTCATCCTATCCTACGATAAGATATGTTGTCCACCCAATTATAAATTGACACATCATGAAAAATTAAAATTGATGATAACTTTAATTTTCCATGATCTGTCAAGCAGTTGGGTGGACAGTAAATCAGACAGCAAATTTCAACTGCTATCCTTATCTCGAGAATCTAGGGTGGGGCCTTGATGTAGGTAAAAACATAGAAATAATGAATGAAAATGACGAAAGTTTCGTTCATTTCAAAACAAATAAATAGAGATTTTTATAAAATTATATTTAATTGTAGACATAAAAAAAATAAAAAAAATAAATAATGGGTTGGGTCAATTTAAATAATCGGTCCAATTAAACTAAAACTTAATAAGCCCATAAAATTTTAAAAGCCCACCCTACTTTTTTTCTAAATCCATAATTATTCNCAATTAAACTAAAACCTAGTAAACCCATAAGATATTAAAGGCCCATCCTACTTTTTTTTAAAATCCACAATTGTTCAATTATAATCAATTTAATTCAATGATTACCAAAATTGGCCACAAATTTCTCCTATAAATAAAGTCAAAGGTCCATTGCAAGAGGGAGGCAAAAAGTGAAGAAGAAAATCACGAAGTGTTGAAGAAATCCTAAAGCCGAAGGAAGAGAAGAAATCATCTCAACTCTAAGTCCGACAAACACGAAGAAGATCAAAATCTCCTTAAAATCAAACAAGCCCAAGAAGATCAAAATCTTCTTCGAATTAAATCAAGATCAAGCCCAAGTTTCAAAATCCAAATCCAA